TAGAGAGAAAAAATATGTGGTGAATAGGAGCGAGAAGTCCGAAAGTGATTCATCAAGGCTAAGAAAAGAAACGCTTGGGATCATTTACTTCATTCGAACGATACTATTTTTATCAGAATCACTCATATCTATATATATATAAAACAGTCTATAAAATGAACGCGTTTTCCACCGTTTTTAAAAAAAAAAAATTTCGCATTTTGTTGAGACTGCTCTCGTAGAAAATTTTTCAATGGGGAGCTAACTCCAGTAAAGAGAAAGTATCCAGAAGAAAGAAAAAAAATTCTCTGATTAAAAGGAGTCAATTTCCTTTCGTTTCATTCAGTCAACTTGATACTATAGCATGAGAATGAAAGAAACCCTCACTACTATTAGATATCCTCATTGTGTAAATACGTAGCTTTGCATTAATAATGTTTTTATCTACATCAAGCTCTAGGTGACAAAAAAATGTTTCTGTAAGTGCCACGCATGCTCGATTCAATTTTCTACGTATAGTAGACTTTTAAGTAGTATTTCAGAGACATAGTCTCAGCATGTAGTATTAAACTATTTAAATACATTTTAATACTAATCTTACTAAGATTAGTATTAAAATGAGAGATGGATGAAAAAAATTGCTACTTTAAATCATTTAAAGTAGCAATTTTTTTTATCCATCTCTTCATTATTCTTTTACCATTTTGTTACTGTTATCTATATCTTTTACTTTGCCAAAGTAAAAGATATAGAAGAGAAACAACAAATACGGTATTTGTTGTTTATCTTCTATGTTATTTCTAACACAGTTTTTTTAATTTCATTTGTCATTATGTGTACGTAGGCAGTGATCATGTGTTCTGTTTTTTATTATGTTGAAAATTGTACAACATAGCTAATATGTCTAAGAAAGTTAATAAATGATATATCTTCGAGGCCTGATGGAATCACAGTTAATTTTCTTAAAGAGTGTAGCTTTCAACTTCTCGATCCTATTCACCACATATTTTTTCTCTCTATTTCTAATGGCATTCATCCTTCTCAATGGGAAGTCGTCACAGTTCATAAAAAGGGACAGAAGGCATTGGTCAATAACTATAGACCTGTTTTCTTATTGTCAATCATAGGTAAAGTTTTAGAACGCTTCATTTACGATTAATTAGTTAAGTACTTAAATGAGCGCAATTTTTTTTCGATGTCCCATTTCGGTTTTCGTAAAAACAGTTCTGCGACAGACTCTGTTATATCTGACACATAATATCTTTAAAAATCTCGAAACAGGTATCGACTCAATCTTGGTCATGTTTGATTTCGAGAAAGCTTTTGACCGGGTTCTTCATCAACTTCTACTCTCGACGTTATATTCGTTGGTGTGAAACGAGCCCCATATAAATGGTTCGAGAGTTATCTGTCTATTCGCCGGCAAGGAGTTCGGATAGGCGCATCGCTTTCAGAAACAGTAGAGATTCCGTCTGGTAAAGTCCAGCGCTTTATCTTGGAACCTCTGCTATTTCTGTTTTTTATTAACGATTTTCCTCTAACTTCACTGCCATTGGTTTTATTTGCTGACAATTGTTAACTCTTGTGTCCTATGAGCATTATCTGTCAGAAAGCCGGTGTTCAGTTGCTTATCAATCAAATCGAGGAGTGATGCCAATTTTAAAGTTAATGCACCTTACTTACTCCAGATGTGCATGAAGTTATTTCACGAATCGTGATCAGTCAGTCGCAGACCATCTCTCATGTTATTCAACATTCCTGTATATAGTTCTTCCACTCTCAACCATGAACTGTAATTTAATTGTGTAATCGTTGATTGTGCCGACAATGAGTCTACACTCGATGGTGCGATACAGAGTATCGAAATAAAAGGTTAAACCGACCATCTTCCTTTTACAATAAACAATACAGTTATTAAACGCGAAACATCTGTTGTTCTTCTTGGAGTGAGACTAATATCAAATCTTTCATAAGGAGAGCATATTAAGGATTTAGTTCTCCGGTCTAGAAACACTTAGGCGCAATGTTTAGGATCTTTCGCGAAGTTCCAACCAAAATCTGTTTGAGTAAATTAATTAAGGTAGTGGAGTATATGATAGTAAACGGTGCAAGGAAGAGTTAGACAAGGTTATAAAGTTGGCTGCACGAATGATATGTAAGCAATTTGATGGCTCCGTAACAGCCCTTATCAATAATTTGAGTTTGCTGGATTTGTCAGTGAGACAAGACTATTTTAGATTACTTCATTTTTACAAGGTAAAAAAGTCTTTCTCGCCCCTTGCTCAGTTATATCCACCCTTTATTAAAGAGATTAAAAGTAAAACACCTGATTGCACCAACATCGGTCGTTAGAACAGTAGGCAGATGGAGACACCCACTTTACTAAAGTACACAAAGTTTCATCATTTTTCTACCGTACGGTGATAAATTGAACTTCACGATAATCATTCTGACTGATGGTGATCTATCGTCAAATTATGAAGTAGTAAGAAACTTTTACTTAAAGGGGGAGCAGGATCTTCACATTTAGATTTGGTTCAAAGTTTCCCAGATGGTAGAAGACACTTCAAAATATATATGAAAAGAGTTTGGAGAGTTACGGGCTTATAGTTTTCTAGAAAAAAAATTTTAATTTTTTTCGACCTTTTTTGCCCATTTTTTAAAATTTAAATAAAATTTTTACTTTTCAATTTGAAACCTCGGTTTTGTAACCAATCGATATAACGCCTCGAGATGTATATGTTGTAAAGATTGTCATCGTTCTCGGACAAGGTCTGGCGGAGAAATTCGGATTTGACCTTGAGAATGGGTTTTGGAGGCCAAAAGTGCGCCTTTTCGAGATCTTGTCTGCAGTTTCCTTGTGAGGAAGCATTTTGAAGCGGAAATGTAGGTGTAGAAGTTGTTTATCATGTTTTTTTCTATGAGTTAATACTTTGCTGTCGCTAAATCTCTTAATGTCAATCTTTAAAATTAAAAATACTGAGATGCTGCACTACGGAGTTAAGGCGCTCAGATTTTGACGATAATTTGTTTTCTTCTGAATCTGAAATAAGTGTCCTGAAAATCTGAAACTCACAGAACATTGACACTTTCACATACGAAATCGAAAAAAATAAAGACTAGTTTTTTAGAGTTCCGGAGCGCAAAATCGTTCAAGACCTTGAACCAAATTTCGCTCGAAGGAAGCATTTTGGACCAAAACTCTGAGTAAAAAAACTGTTCAGAATCGAATTCGGGGGTGCCTCACAAAAGCTTTTTCGAAAAAAATTTTAGGCTTCAAAGTTGAAAAATGCGAAATTTTCAAAAATTTAATTTAAAAATTTAGAAAAGAAAATTTTCAAAAATCATCGTGAAGGACTCCGAAATTCGATTCTGAGCAACTTTTGTGCTCAGAGTTTTGGTCCAAAATGCTTAGCTGTGAAGCTGTCTTCAAAATACTTTTAGTTCTTAAATCCCATCTGGAAGGTAAACGTTAAATTTCTCCCCTCCCCTTAATCTAAGAATTACAGAAACTGGAAAAAAAAATTGTGTCGATCTACGACAAATCAGGTGCCCATGCTATTAATAATGCATTCTTAGAGGTATCTAATCAAATAGAACTTGTGAATATTGAAGGCAAAGAGTTGTTTTACTCCCTCTAACCTTTTACTACTTAGTAAAATCAGTATTAAAGGCATTAATCACAAAGCATTTTTGGCTGTTTGATAGAGACACCTATATCTCAGCGACACAAATTTTATTGGAAAGTCATATGTATCCAATTGTATTATCCTTTGGATTTAGCTATGCTACTATATGCTGTCTCAAATTCTCTAAATTATATCTCTAGTCTATATATCTATCTATCTAACTATTTATATTCTCTTCTTTTTGTGTATATTCTTGCCCCTTATATTTAGGCCATCGACCAAAGGCTGTTTAAGTCAGTCATACGCTTTATACTCATATTGAGGAAAGAAACTACTTTTTTATCTTCCAGGAGGGATAAAGGAGAGGCTGATTCACGCGTTAATCACAACATCTAGATCTGAAAAGTGAATTTGTTTCTGATCTATGAACATTGTTTTCTCAATGCCTTCTGTTCTCTCCTAATTCAGGTTTTTTCTTTTTCTATTTACTGTATAATAAAAAGTAATAAAATCTTGTATAGAATTCTTTTCGAAAGGTTTAACATTCGAATAAATAATCGTAGCAAAGATAGAAAAATTATGATTTGGTTTGATAATGTTTAGATTTGAAAACTGTTGAAAACTTTTCTAATGATTTAAATAAATACTCACACGTACAACAACAAATCATTATTGCTTTTTTTTTAAAAGAACATTCATAATCGTCATGTTACAACAAGAAACTGTTCATCGGTGGTTCAATTATTTGCGTGGTTCAAAACGTATCGAATTTTTATATGGTCTATTACATTTGTGTGTTCCGCTTGAATTAAGATATATTGGTTCATGTTTAGAAGAAGTAGCAAGAAAAGATTATTTTTATTTACTTGAAGCTGAAACAAAAGCAAATTCAACATCAACAAAATATTTAACACACGCACAACCGATACCCATAACTACCTCACGTTCTACAACGAACAATTGTGATGCATTAAACGAAACTATTGCCGATTTTAATGATCAACGTGAACGTGCATTTACAATTGTCGATTTAGGTATGCTGATGAAGTTCATACAGAAAAAGGTTTTAATTCAATCTTATTTCAAATATGATTTCTTTCTTTTCTTTTTGCCATAATTTCAATTTCTTTCGATTTCACACTTATTCATCCTAAATTTTTTTTATATTTTGTTTTATTTATTTATTTATCTTTTTATTTTATTTCACTAGCTTTACTACATACGGACAATCGTGAATGTGCTTTAAAAATTTTTAAACGTTTAAAATCGTGTGATTGTATTAAATTGATTGATGAAAAATTAGCTAAAGAAGAAATTGATGAATATATAGCTGATGAATTTTTAATTATATTTCAATTAGCTGCAAATCATCCAGCATTTAGTTTTGAAATGCGTACACAAATGTCACAAATTCTGAAAGAATTAGAAAAACGTTTTCGTAATTTAAAATTGTCAAATGATACATCAATATCAACGACAGTAGACGATACCAATTCATCATTTTGTTCATTATCAAATTCAAATAGTTCTGGAATACCCAATTTACACGCATCACGTGCGTGTCTTATACATAAACAACAGTATACAACTTCGAATAACTCTCACCTTTTTTTTTCTTCTCTATTTTAGCACTTTTAACCAAAGTAACTGTTGTTCAATTTATCGTTTCTGACACTTTCCAATTTCAAATTAAAGTAATAAATTCTGTTTACTTATGTTTTTTTTATATATAAATATTTTTGTATCACATTTATTAGGCTGATTGGTCCGACAGTGTTTCTACACATGTTTGGAAAACAATAGACGATTTGAAAACATTTCATTTGCACGTAAGTGTATTGTAGACATATCGGAAAATCAAAACATAATATTATGTATACTCTTCTTTTTTCTTTCTTTAGTTAACGAATGTTGTTTATCAAGATGATGCACGTTTTGAACGATTACATAGTATTGCATCATATTTGCGTAATATCAATGGATTATCACAACAAAATGGTTACATTGAGAAAATAAAAACAAATATTGAAACTTATTTATCGTAAGTATTTTTTTTTTACCTGTAGAAGAAGTAAAATCATCTTTCTTTTATCTTCTAGAAATCTAATCTTTTTCTCGAGTTACATATCAACAATTCAAACGTTAGCAAAATTTTTTAATTCTTCATTGAAACTAATCGATTCTAAACAAAAAAATACGAACAGCAACAATAATAACGTTAATATATTTAATGAAAAACAATTATCATTTAATTCATCGGAAATGACAACTGTTGTTCAACGTAAGTAGAGAAAATTTGAATGCTTTAATTTTAAATGTCAGATGTATTATGTTATTTTATAGAGCGTAACAGTGAGAATACTCAACAAAATGAATTGGATAAAAAAAGTATAATAACACAAACATTTACTGAATCAAAATCAGTTGAAACCCAGACTGAAATTTTTGAACAAAAACTTAACTATCAAATTATTATTGATAATCAAGATTATTTAAGACGATTTAATCAAGATCAAGTAGGACAGTTTTCCTTTGCACTTGTTTAATGCCTGTGGTTTAGAGTTTGAAAGCCATAGGAACAATTTGCTCTTACTGGGATGTGGAAAAGTTGAGTGGCTGTGAGATGCATCTGGCATCCTAGAGTTCACTTGCCAGATAAAAACTTGAATATCTTCGTCATTTCTTGACCAAATTGGACTTTTGTTTTTCTATTTAAAAGAGATATGTTCCAAGTTCTATTTTATATAAAAATGTTTTACATATACTGGTCGAAACTGTCAGCATCTCTATAAACACAGAATTTTTATCTTTTTATAATACTATGAAAAACGTAATATAATGGGTCTTTTTTTATCGCTACAACTTTCTCAATTCTGTCCCTCAGATCATCAATATCTTTGACTTTCATTTTGTATACTTTTCCTTTGTGACATATCTTCATTCACAAAGAAATCAGATAATGTTAAATGTGGTGATCGTCGCGTCGTTCAACAAATTGAACCAGCTCTATGAATTCATCATCTATCAAATTTTTCATTTAAACATATACGAACTTGTTTTGAAAACTGGAATGGAGCATCATCATGTTGAACGTGATCTTTTTATTGAGTTGTGGACGGAATTGAGAAAGACATTGTAGCGATAAGAAAAAGACCCATTATATAATGTTTTTAATAGTATTGTAAAAAGATAAAAATTTTGTATTGATAGAGATGGTGACAGTTTCGGTTAACTTGCACCTGGGCGAAAAGAAAAATGTCGAAAGGGAAAAAGATCGATCATAAAGATGTCGAAATATAGAATGTCGACAGGCAAATACATCGAATATTAACTATGACGAACGAGAAAAAAATCGAAAGATCGGAAATTGGTCTCATAGAAACATTGAAAGTATTTAGGCTCGTATTCATTTTCGATGAAAGATTTGATAGATTTATTTCATTCGTAAAAAATCCACTACTACAGGTGAAAATGTTTTTTGTTAAAGAGCAAATGTGAAAAAACGGATAAAATCTGATGTTATCAGTATCGGGAGATCACATCAATACACATCAATGAGTTTTTGTGGTAATGGATCTCGATTTAAAACAAATTTTTGCAGAGATTTGTAATGCTTGATTTGTTGGGGGATGTATTTTGGTTATTAATGATGCTTTTAAACCATATACAAGGTCACTAAGCGTATCTTTCCCTTTGTTCCTATTCACATCAGAGTCCTGGAGTCTAACTCGTCGAATCTGACCAAAACTGCCAGTATTCCAAAATTGACTGAAGCTTTGAAATGTGTCTATTACATGAACAAGGCTGAAACAAGGCAATAAAAAATATTACAGACTCAAACTAGAGTAAATGGAATATTTCATGTTATACAAAAGTTGTGGCGTCAGTAGCTAGACGTGGTGCATGCCTAAACACGCATTCTACCGTTTATTATTCCTGTTCTTCGTCCTTTACAACATAGACCCGATACTGATAACATGAGACAAAAAAAGTGGTTAATTAAAATACACTTTTATTTTCAAAGTACATATTTTTGTTTACTCTGTGTCTCTCCTACATATATTATTATGATGGTATTAAAAGTCAGCTAAATTGTTCCTTTTTCTTCTACTCACTTTCATCACACTGTTAAAGTTATCAGGAGCAGTACGGTTTTTTCTTACAAATTTCAACGCAACACACGCTACCTGCATCAGCATGTTGGTAGTCTGTACCAAGCACAAAGTTTAGATAATATTGCAAGATCATTTAGTACAATATTTTTCGATTTTTCGATATTTTTACATTTCAGTATTTTTTTATTTCCCTGCTTATCATATTCGATATTTGTAATTCGCCGTTTTCACATTCTATGTTTTATTTCCGACGTTTTTACGTTTCGACATTTTTCCTTTTCGATGTTTTTCCATCCGTTATTTTTTCTTTCGACGTTTCACTTTCGGCTTTTTCCTTTTCGCCCAGGATCAAGAGAGTCACAGTTTCGACCAGTATATGTAAAACATTTTTATATAAAATAGAACTTGGAACATTTCTCTTTTAAATAGAAAAAAAAATCCAACTTGGTCAAGGAATGATGGAGATATTAAGTTTTTATCTGGCAAGTGGATTCGGGCTATCTGGTAGAATATCGAGCCTCTCGTAGTTACGCATTCGTATTAAACCTTTCGTATCTATTCTGACAAAGGACTTAGCCGTATATTAGATTGGATCTAAATTTTCTCTCAGTTTAAGTGAATTGCTGATTAGTGATAGATTGGTCATTAAAATAGTAAGTATGGTTTTAGCTTCTTTGGAGCTGAGTTTACTTCATCATGGCATAAGGTACACTTTGTTTTGTGTGATATGATAAATATACGTTTGGTCTTATTTTTTGTTTTAGCTTTTTTCATTGACACAAGCCGAAATGATACATGACGGTCTTGCTCCAGAAATCGCTCAAGAATTATGTGGTATTTTAGCCGAACTGAAGTACGTCACACGGCTAAATGGAAACTAAAATATGTCATTTAATGGTGTCTCTGTTTTTTAAGACCATTGGCTATGTGTCAAGCATATTCACCATTTAACTATCCAAACTTTGCCACATCGTCGCCAGTTGTACAATCGGCACTTGAAGATATTTTCAAAAGTATTGTCACTCCAAATTCAATGATTCATGCTCCTCAATTACCTATTCTTTTAAATTCGCAACACAATACAATGGATTTACTTGCTGAACAGTCATCGCCGTCTATTTTACAAACAATCAAAACAACAGCGAATAGGGTTGAATCATCATCGGAAGATGATAAAGGTAAATTGAAATATTGCATTTGATTTTCATGTATTTATCTCTACTCCATCTTTTAGCGTTACAAAATGAGCTTCAGGATCCAAGAAATGCACCACACACTGTTCCTGTCACTCCAATCGCATTTTCTATTACACCCTTCATTACACCAGGACAGCATTTATTACGTCATCCAGTAAATGGTGTTGGTCACCCATCGAATGGTTACCAATCAGACCCACAATTCCATCAATATCATCGATATGGATCACAACAGCAGCATCACAATCATTATAATGATAAAAACCAACCAATGCAAAGAAAAAATTTTCGTCATATGAAAGAGCAACGAAATTTTTACTGTCCTGTGCCAGTTCTCCCACCAATGACTATGCAACCGCCACTAAGCGGTAATTTTTATTCGGCACCCCCAGCTGTTTCGCAATTTGTAACGAACAATCGTCCCTCATTAAGTGATTCAACATCAACAACACCAAATGGAGAGCGCTATTTGTCGCCCGCGCCATCACCAGCTCCTATACCGATTTCAAGCGTAACCCAATCAATGCATATTCGTCAAAATAATACAGATCTTTCGCTAGCAACGGGATCAGCATTGCCATTGTCTACTACAAAAGTGAAATCTCGTCTAAATTCATCTTCGTCAACGAATAGTGCAACAACACACACAAATCAAATACAAACATTATCGTCACCGCAATCTTCTAGTGGAATTTCAACAACAACAAATGAATCTCAACCTCAAACACCAAATCCTGTCATGAACAGTACGTCGTCATCCTCATCTGCAACACTCACGAATAACAGCCAACAACAGCAGCAGCAACAGCACCAACAACACTTCTCTCAGCAAATGTTACAAACATTTCTTCATGTGTCAAATGCACCACAAGGAGCAACGTTTTTATTAAATACTGAGAACGGCGTTGTTCCAGCCTTTCCAGTACCGCCAGGAATGTATCAAAATCCAAAGTTCCTTGAAATGTTAGTGCAAACTCAACAAATGCAATTTCCGATGGGAGCCGCTTCACTACAACCGCCTCCATTAGGACCGCCACAGGCTGTTTTCTCCCAGCCAAAAACTTCAAATAATTTCTCGTCAGAGCATAATCATTATCGTCCACATAACAACTATCAACATAATTATTCATCACAAAATCATTCGTCATCCCAGAATTATTATGATAATGGGTACAAATCCCACAGTAGAGGAAAACACTGTTATGCCTGTGGTAAATTGGGTCACATTATGTACAATTGTCCTGATTGTTCTGATACTTATTCGTCGGATTTAAATCATTATGGTACGCATCTATGAATAAAAGCGAATGAAATAACAATAAAATCTCGGAGAAGAGATTCTTAAAGATAAGAACGAGATCTTTTCATCGGGACAATATTGTTGTTATTTGCCTATAAGCTGGTATGAAAACTACTTGAATGACGATTGTTCATAGAGTGATTCTCATATGGTACGCACAGTTTATTCTACGCGTGTTTCTTTACTTCGCGTGAACGTTAAAAGTTCGAGAAAGATGTTATCTAGTATAACTAAGTATTCATACATATGTGAGTGTTGTTTCACGACGCCTACAGTCAAGGACAGACATCACCACCACCAGTATAAAGCATGCATTAACCAACCACTCAGATATTCTTCCATGATCTTCCTCATCTTTTGCTAACTTGTAAGTTCTGCTTATATTTAGGTCCGAAGTTGAACTATCGTCCAGACCAAACAAATTCGCCGAATAACAAAGATCTTAACCGCTCACAACGAGCCAATTCAAATGCAAAACATCGAGAGTGAAATTGTATCCATTGATAAAATACAGACATATCACAAACCAGATTAGTCTTGTCCTTGCTCTTCTAAGAATGTGACGACATTATGTAGAGAAAACTTCATTTTTTTGCTTTTTACCTTTTTCTATCATGATTGACAGGCACATTTTAGAGCCATACTAGGATATCTTTTTCTTTTCTTGTTCATTTGTCTTCCTACAAGTATTTTTTTTTGCTTGTCCTTTAAGGATAAAGAAAGAAAAATCATTGTTATGTTAGAAACTTTTTTCTTTGTCTTTGAGATGTTGCATTTATTCTAAATTATTTCTTTTTCATCGTATTTCTTTTCTAAGTCATTTCGCGTTTTTCTTTTACTTTATCAGTTTTTATGAAAAAGTGAGGCTGCGTTACTTTAAATTCAGGGCATCCATAAATGAATCTCTCTATCTTGTATTTTTGTTCTTGCTTTATCGAGTACTATCGCGTATAGAGGTGTAAAAGGTGTTCAAGTGGTTATTTGATCGATATGATTTGTAATTGCATGAATAAACGCAACGAATATTTTCTTTTTCTGCTGTCATAATTATTTTTAAAAAAACTTCAACTTCTACTGTGAATATCGATTACCTTCAACCACTATCCGTCCATCCCTCATCTGAATATTAAACTAAATTTACTTATTATATCTATCTAAGTCAGTGCCTTGTTTCAAAAGTGGTACAAAATTACTCATGATGAGTTTTCTTTTATGATTGAGCTATGTCTATTGCCTCTACTTTTTTGTTGTTATTACTTTCTTGCTAACATTTTCTGTTTAAGTTCTTTATTACATATTTCTTTTCGGATAATTTTCAGTAAACGAAAAGCACTATTCCTAAATAAACATCTAGTTGCTTGCTCTTTGTATTAGAGTAGTTTATACAGCATAGTATTATCAATTTCATTGTATTTTGAGGCCTTTTTGTTACGGCATTGTTCTTTCTCTTTTTTGTCATTTTTCTCTCTCTGTTCGCAGCCAATCCTCTGTATACACACAATTCATTTTACAGTGATAAAAAACAGAAAGAAGGAAGAAATATGTTAGATGTAACATCGACAAGACGATTAAAACAAGTTTTTCTCTTATTTTTTTGTGTAGAACTGGACAATGAACATGATATGGCTTCATATCATCTATTCCCTATATTTGATTTTATTATTATCATTATTGTTGTTGTTGTTGTTGTTGTTCTAAACGTTAAAAAAACATGATGCTTTTCTTCTACTTCGTTAACTGACATATTTTTCGCTGTTATCTTTCTTTTGTTCTTCTATTTTCGACTTTCATAGACATTTGTTCACTTTGATTTTTTCCTAGAGCATACTCAAAAGAACTAATATAAACACGACAAATTTCGTAGACGCTAGACGAACAAATCTTTTTTGTAGTAACTGATAAACAACAAACAATTGATTCAGAGCAATAAAAAAGTGCTTAGTTCGTTTTAAAATGCACTCTGATATTTGCACAACTTTTAATAATTATTTTTTCTATTTCATTGACTAAAAGAAAATGATCTTGCTCTTTTGAATATCTGTATATTCGTCATGTTTCCGGTATAATTCCTTTGATTTAACAATTAATGAGAAAATCTTTCTGCAGATATATTTATTCTTATCGTTATGGAACGATTTTAGTCACATGTTGATGCATACTAAGTCAAACTAAAATGAGAACGCGTTTTTTTTCGTTTTCGTTTATAAAACGCATTCGTTATGCATCGTTCTTTTTCACGACATGTTGTTTCCACTTGAAGAAAAAATACGAAAAAGGACGTGATCCTGATTATGAAATAAAGACAAACGAGTTTGATCGCAATAAAACAACTTTTTCTATACCAGGGTTTATTTTGCTAAAAATAAAAATCCAAGATGAACACATTTTGATTGATAAATTCAATAAAACGTAGTCTTTCTTCAATCGTTTTTTATTCCATTTCGAAGGTAAGAACGGAAATTCTTTCACTTTTTATTAGAAACGCGTTCGTTCCCCTGAATATGTTTTATTTTCGTTTCAGAATGTACGTACACTAATTTCCACCAAAGATAGTCTCATTTTCAATCTTTTTTCTTCTTCAGAGTCCCCAGGGTTCTTCTGAGATACCGGACCGACTGTGTGTGTCAAGACTAATGTTATATCAGACACTTCCATGTACAAGTGAACACTCTGAAACTTAGGTGCTCGTAATGCAAAAGTTGAACAAAATTGTTTTTCAATTTATTATACATCGTTAAATGGAGTTTTTCGAGTTGATTAAGAAAATGTATCTTACAACGTTTCAAAAGTTAATTTTCATGTCGAAAAATCGAAAAACCTCGATACACCGCAAAAACTTTGAATGTTCGCGTTACGTAGTAGTATAGATTCAGTTAGAAAATTGCTATTTAATAATCAAATAGAATATAATTTTAGTCAGTGTAAAATATCATTATTCGAATTTGATGATGAAAAGATTTAGATTTATATAGAACAATAGAAGGATTTGCCGGAATTAATCGAGTATATGTTAATAAACGTCTTTATATATCAACTACATCTAAAATAAATGATATGAATTTATGGAAAGTTTATTATTTTCTAACATTACATGAAATATTACATGTGATAGTGCGTACCATAGTTAATAATATTAATTTTTTTAACACCAACACAATTAAAATTACAAAAAGAACAACATTCTCAAGTACCATTTAATGAATTTGGATATAAGATAGAAATGTGCATTTTTGGTAAATGTTATGATTGGCTTACTAGTTCTACAAAATTATTACATACAAATATGGGCAAAACAATTTTGCAAGAATTTATCTCTTGTGTAGAAGAAAATCAGTTTAATTTACTTCATATAAACGAAGCTATTGAAAGTTTGCTACCTGTTTCACCACTAATAATATCAATGGCCCTACGCTTTCGTCCAGTTTATTCAAAATTTAGATAATGACATTATATAAGAAACTGGTTTTCTTTTTTTTTTCCTTTAGATTATCTAACTATTGTTCAGATTTCTTTGGTCTCTTTTAATGACGTAACTGTACTTTTCTCTTTTGATCACCAAATTTTTCAGCATGACCTCACATTTTTTATTTCTCAACAAAGTATAATGTACAACACAAACATAACAAGATTAATAATTTTATTTAACTTTTTTATTCGCGATAAAACACGTATTCAGCCATTAGGCAAACAAAAAGCAAAACGGTCTCCCAAGAAAGTTAGCACAGCTTTAAATTTGTAAATAGATATAAATAAAACTGTGAAAATATTGTTCATTTGGTTAATATTTCAATAAATATGTATCATGTTGAAAAATTTGGTGATCAAAAGTATCTTTTTTTGGTGATCATTTATATTTAGAGAATTTGGTGATCAAAGAAATTGCTACCCCTTTTAATGAAACGGTTTTTTCAAGTGTTAGGATATTTCGTTCAGTTTCAAATGTATAATTGAATAATTCATTTTTAAAATACGTTATTCTTTTTTTATATCAATAAAAGAGTTGCTAGCAATCATTCAAATACTATAGACCAACTTGGACGTTGAATTATGTTTGCGTTTGACAGAGTTAGATTTGAATTTGATTATTTATCGACTTTGTAGAACTTTAATAATGGATTTATTGAATTCCACTAAAATGTTTATGCTGATCAAATTATGCTGATGAAACTCGAATAATGATCATTGTAAGTACAATTTGTAAGATAACTTATCTTGAACTCCTTTTGAATTTTGCGTATGAAAATAAACAATAAATGATTGGTACTAATATTTCAATAAATACTTTCATTAAAATCAATATTTAAATTACATTAATGATGTACAATGACCATCATTTTGATTAGATCCTTTTTTCTTCAATGTCAAACGCTTAAAATTTGTCATAAAATCTCGTCCTTTATGAATGAAATTGTAAGTAACTGTTTGACAGATCGAAAACAAGAACTTTGCGAACGAAAGCGTGCAGAGCAAAAATGGCGTCGTGACTATTTTTTGGAGAAAACGACCTTATTGCCAAAAGCTATGTCTTCTTTTGAGAAAATCCGACTTTTTTGTGAAAAAACAAGGCATTTTTGTTGGGAAAAGATATGAAGGTATTTTTGAGAAAAAAAGCGAACCTTGTTTCGAAAAGACATGAGTTTCTTGTGAGAGGGATAACTTCTTTATTAGAAAACATGACTTTTATTTGGAGGGAAGCGTAAAGCAACGCTTTTGCTTTTAACATCAGCTTCTTTTTTGTTGTTTCCTAGTAGAAACACATTTTGTGAGAGTTTGGAATTGTTTTTGATTTCCGATACTATAAATGCTGTTAAGATGAAACTTTGTGAATATGTTCATGGTATATGAAAAAAATGCAGCTTCATATCTCTTACCTTACAGTGACGAATCATATCTCAATCGGGATATATATCCTGATCGAGCTATATCGGGATATAAAAATGTATCCTGATTGGGATATTACAACCCAATTGGGATATATTTTTTTCGATATCCCGATCGGGCTATGTTCCTATAGCCCGATCGAAATATCTGCTTTTTTGTATATTCCAATCGAGATATGGTTTCCTTGTAGTAGAATAGTAGTTTAAAACCGCCAAAAACTAATTATTTTGGTACTAGTAGTGCAAAGGTGATATAGAACACAACATATCAGCCGCCAGAACTTGAGTGATAAACGAGCTTCGGCATTTTTTTCATCATACCTTACATATTAAAGCGTTGATATTAAAGCGCTGATATTAAAGCGTTCAACACTATTTTAAGGCTCATTGTTGGTTTATCGAATGTATTGAAACAGCTTGATAGTACTATCATGCGTTATATTGACGGAAGAGACACATTTAATTTCTATTGCAATAGATTTGAATGCCAACAGTACCAGTACAATTCATAAACGTGGTGGCAGAAGTTGTTTTATTGTTGTTCGGTAGAAAATACAGCACTTGGGAAACTGTACTGTCTTGTTGTACATGACGAACAAATGTAAACGAAAAGAGGAATTTAGAATGGACAAATATGCAAAACAAGAAGATATGTATATTCAACGCCTACTATTCATCACGATATCTGATGTATAACAGAAATATCATTTTTATATATTTATGTGTTTTAGTTTATGCTAAAGTTATTATTCGAAGAACAACAAATCTAAAAACGCCTCATTAAGAAGAAAAGAAAAGAGAAGGGTTGAACTATTGTCACCTGTAGCATCATTATTACGCATGCATTGAAAAATCAAAAACAACAGAGAGAAGCGCATCAGATCTTGCAAATGCTATTCAAACCTTGGATCTGTCCATCTTTTAGAGTAAGTGTTTCGATTTTTCTGTCAAACCTCCAGTATTTCCTGTTTTGCATACGAACATTTCTCTTATCGTGTGATAGTACATTCTTCTTCAGACTAGATTATAAGCTGATATTTTTAGTCACATATTCACTTCACAACGGATTCGTCTGAAAATACTAATATTATGGAACTATGTACATTATTGTAGCGAAAAAAATCGACATAACCTCACATTTCTTTTACCTTAGAGTAAATTTTTATGTCGCGCAGTCTGTATAGTTGGTACGCTAATCGCGCTCGCTCTTGCCACTGCTATTACACTTATTATTTGGTATTTACTGACGCCTATTCATGAAATGACCAAGATTAATTACAATACTACATGTCCTCCAAATCCTTGTCCATCGAAACAGACTACCATATCGATCCCAATAACTGACTCAACTCATACGACTGGTAAAATATAAGAATATTCGCTTCGCATATTCGCGACTTATTATATTTTGTTTATAGCAACTACAAGCACCACTTCAACTACAACGACACGAAACACAACAACAACAACAGCGACAATGTCCACTGCGAGAATTACCAGCACTACTACGACAACGATAACTATTAAGAAGAAAGATTACAAAGAGCCATGCGAAGATTTGCTTGAGTGTTACATTGAATATGGTCTCTTGTGTGAATTTGGCTACAATGAATCGAGATATTGTTTATGCGAAGGTTCACATTATTGGTCTGTAGCTCAGCACAAATGTGGTAAGGCCATCCACTTCAAATATGAGTCTATAACTTTTAGTATATGTTCAATTTGATAAAAATGTTTCTGCCTCTTTTGTTACCTTCTGTTTTTTCAAAGTCTAATACATCCTTTATTACTAAAATTAGATGTTATTCTAGTGAGAAAAGGCGAATTAAATGTCCCATGTGAAATCGATTATCAATGCCATACAGAAATAGGCTTAGTGTGTGATACACCACCAGGTTCTTCAGAAAAAATTTGTATTTGTTCAGCAAGTTTATATTGGTCAACAGATTCAAACTGTGGTGAGAGTTTAAATATGTATCACATATTTCAAATGATTAAAGAATTTCTATTAATTTCTAGGTCAAACAAAAATTAAACATATAATTAATTGTAAGGATGAACCACATGCGACAACGTGTCTTGTTCTGGACGATAATAATCTCTATCATATGCTTACAGTGCGTTCAGTGACAAAACGAGAATTATCATTTGATTGGTTTTTGATTGATGAGAAAACATTATCGAATATAGAATCACTGAGTTGTGGTATTAACAATGGTACAAAATACTGTTTTGGATTAAATAAATCGTTACCACATTCACTGGAATTAGCACAATTCACATACAAAGGATTTCATAGTATAGAAAATATTGGAGGATCAAACATAGGTTAGTTTCGAGAGACGCCTGTTTAATTAGAAATCTATATCGTTTATATTCAGGTATACCATTCGCTCTCGAAGATATTGGTACAGTATCTGCCTATGTTCGAGACGCCCGAGGAGTATTATATCGACAAGTAATAAGCGATGATGAGGTCTTATCGCCAAAAAACATCTCTACAATAGTTTCAAGTGATGCAATATGTTATATACGTACAAGTGTCAATCCACCACTGACATATTGCTATGCTCTTAATGCCGAAAATACTGTAATAGAATTCTTGGAACAATCGCCCAATGTTTGGAAGTCAACTCTCTTAGGTAATACTCAAGACCATATTCAACATCTGCCAATTTGTAATTATATTGGACTACAAAAAACATATTGTTTCGCTTTATTAGACAATAAACAAATACAAAAAAACATCTTCAGTTCAGGTCAATGGGGCGTCTGGTCACCCGTTGGATCGAAAACATTTTTAACTGAACCATTATTTTTCACATCGAAACCAAATAATGCGTCGAGTGCTGATCAAACATGTTATCTGTTGGGTATCGATATTAATTATGAATTACAACTATCAGAAAATAAAAATTGTGCATTCGTCGAAAGTTGGACTGAGTGGACAAAAATACCAACAACCGTTAAATTTCAACAATTTCAAAATGTATTCCGTCTACGTGACGACAACATGGGTGCTGTGGGTGTCTCTAATCAAGGCATACCATATTACATATTTTTAGATCCAATTACAAAAAAATTTACGAGTCCAAGTCCAGCTTTTTCAGTTAAACCTGTACTGTTCAGACCGTGAAAGACAGTAGACTGAATTAAAACTGTTTTAAAGTTACGTCGTGTACGCAAATGTTTTGAACTTTTAATATAATTTATCAAGTAAATTTCGTAATAGTAGGAGTATGCTCTCTTTCCAAACAAAAGGTAGTTTGTATGAAAAGTATATACTTTTGTGTCAACTAGCTATTCGATGTAATATCCTGTTGTTCAGATCTTAAACATTGTCTCCGATTAAAGATCTTCAGATTAAAGACGAGAATCTTCAATTTCATAACACCTTGCGTTCAAGTAAAAAAAATGAAACTTGTACAGAATAATCACACACTCTCATACACATCTATGCAGTACAGACTATGATTATTCTGGATACGTGTCTATAAAACTTATGTTGTATAGCCTCCACAAGCAACGTTTCAAACATTGAAGACTAGCCACCTGTGGGTAAACATAAATATACTGAATTATTATTAGAGCAAGTGCCCGAAAATCAATCATACATGTAGAATTAATGCCTAGTTACAAATAGTCCTCAAGTTGACGGTGAAAATACAATCCATGTAAATGAGCTAAAGTCTGGTTCCAGTATATATTTAAAGCATAAGACATAGTCAGAGCAAGGACTTATTGTAAAACCAAATAAAGCTGAACAAGAAAAGAGACTCTTCAACTGAAAGAAAGTATCTACAAACAAAAAAATGCGTGACCGTATCCGCATGATTGCAAAAAACAAGATGGTTGAAACAGCTGATTGTACGGCATGGACATAATTAACCGCGATAAATCCGAGAATGACATATAACTACCTCCACAAGTGGTTCTATTGATTAAATTTTTTTTTACTATATCCACAAGAGTAGAGTACCTAACTATTTAATAGATCTCGATGAGTTCGACTATCGATAGGTTACGCCTAATTGATAAGTTTACTATGAACTGATATCAATTCAGGGTTGTCTAGAGATCGAGTAAATCGCAGATGAACGCTAATTTGTTTTTAGGTATTATCAATAAATTAATGAATGAACATATTTAAAAAGAAACTGACTAGAAAGAGTAGAGGTGGCACTCTAGAAAAATATAAACTAGACTAAAATGAACTGTATTAAACCATAGTCCAACTCTGCTCCTCTTTACCACCAATGATAGCTGATACGGAGAAATCTGTTAGTTTTTTTTGATTGTTCGTTTGTCCATTTCTATTTTCATCGATATTTTCGGTTGTTTCTGCTGTTGTTGACGAACGAAGACGTAGCGAGGAACATGGCGTAGTCATTTTACAGAGCGAGTTCATAACAATCATATTGTCGATTAAATGCAACGTTGGTGTTCGAGATTTCGTTATTCGAAATGCACTAATCACCGGAACGTTAGACAAAGCTTTATCATTAGTACGTGAAAGTAAATAGGAGCATTCTGAATTAGGAATTTGTGATCGATCGACGTGTGTTGCACCCATTTGTGTCAAATTAGGGGATGGATAAATTAGAGGATAATGTTCATGAGGTTTTATTGTGAGTGCTTCTAATTCTTTATCAGCAAAACAACGTCGTTTTCGTAATCGATCATTTAAAATAGGTTGACTAAATCGATTATTGTCATTTCCATGCGGCAATCTAGCTTTTAAATCTAAATATAGACTATCGATCTATTACGAATATAATGAAGAATCCTAATACTCACTTTTGATTACATCGCGAGTTATTGAACTTTCTTGCAGTTGACGAAGATTGCGTTGTACAGCTAAACGTTTTTGTTCTAATAATATTGCTGATGTTTTACATTTTGTACTATTAGTCGCCTTCTTGCTTTGATTTGTTGCTTGTTGTCTAAATTGAATAAGCTTCTTGCTAGACTATATCTCGTTTGACACGAAAAATGTCTGTGCATACCGTCTTAACGCCACTTGAGCCGCCATAATTCGTTGTCGTTCAACTACCAGTAAGCAACTTGCACATGTACAATCTTTCCAACGACAATACTTCTTATGACCCTAAAATAGGATATCAATCTGGAATTATGTTTTAAAACCGTATCGAGTCTAACCTTTAGACAAGAGACTACACCATGATTACGACATCTTGCACATTTTGGTGTACGCAATAATTTACGACTTATAGTTTTTTCTTCCGTTACACTACATGCATCATCTCCTTCCGATGTTGAATCGATCGAAGATCTCGCTTTGTCGATGGCACTATTGTCTGCATCAGCATCATCTGTCATAGTGCTAATTTTAAAACAAGCAGTTTGTCATCTAAAACGTTTCGATTAACTTGAATTAGAAAACTTATTGTCGTTTTAAATACTTATTCAAAATATCTCCTAATGACGATTAGGAGGTGACACTAATCGTTCACTGTTTTGACTAAGTGTCAACCTAATCACACACGTTCATACACGTAGTAAAACAGAAATTGTATCTCTATTAAATTGTCACATGTATGATTCTTTTTTCCTTTAACAAAAAGAAAATGTTCAAATCATTCATAAACACACCTGCTTCTATATTGTGAAGGAAAACAGTTACAATTTCAAATTTAGTTGGAGATGATGACTTGTACGTACTCAATCTTCAAAACGATTACGACATAAGTGTTTATAATTTCATGTTTTTTTCTGTAAAATTATCGATTCTTGTCCATAAGTAACTAAGTCATGAGATCTAAATATGCGACTTTTTCATTTATACTCTTACTTGCGATACAATACGTCAATTAGTCAATATACTACTCCTACAATGACAAGAGAAAGATGATGAATCGGAATCGAAATGTTTATTATATAAAATCAGTATGTGTGTGTATGAAAATCACAACAAGATATTGATCAGCATGAAAGTGGCTTGATTAGTTACAACTGTATGCTTGTGGCATTCGAAAGTGAAAAATGTATGATGAAGATGATGATATTATGCACCAGTTTTTATTTTTTTTTCTTTGTTTGTACATATATCAAATAACTATATAGAAAATGTAGAGATGATGGTCGTACATTGTTTTATTACAAAGAGAAAGAAATAAGAATAGAAGAAGAGGTAGAATATACATGCTGGCAAAAATCATCTATTGGGTGTACATGAGCATCCTCTGATTGGTTTGTCTTCAAGCAATTTAAAGGACAACAATGTTAGATTGGCATCCGATTGCTTTCTTTCTCTTTTTCGCATCATTTCTTATCTTTTCAATATGTCGTTTTTTTACCAGCTTATATTTCACAAATCGTAATATTATTATTTTTTCCTATATTATTGTTAGAGAACTATCGTGTCCAAATTATCAATATTCGACGATTTTATTTTAAAGTAAAAGGGCGTTATATGCGTTTTAAATGGCAGTAGTACCTATTAATTTCACATCTTAAGAAAGAAACTTATTCTCACTAAAAGAATGTTTTCAATGTAAAAGAAAGGTTATTAAATTGAAAAATGTCGAAAATATATAGCAGTCATTGGCAAATTGTAATAGCACATACATCAAACTCATATTGACTATACTGGTAGTCTCTTGTTAACATCAAGGCTTTTTTGTGTAGTTAGCTTTTCTTCTATTGTAATTCAAAACTGCTGTGGTAACATTTTTTTTAAATATCATCGATAATAATTACCAGTTGAGAACATGTATACACTTGTTGGCGTACAAAATTCTTAAATGTTATATTATTCTTAGCAATCGAAAACGTGCGTGTTGTTTGTATGTAGAAGAAAGAATTGGTTATTGTTTACGTTACTTTTTATCGTACAAACGTCATATATATTGAGAAATCAATTCTAAATATCACAAGCGGTCACGTGAAGATTGACAAGTGCAAAACGCTAATCGCTGATTTACTTTAGAAACACTTATTCTGGCCTTAGTCAATTTTTTGTTTGAAAAAATGTAAAAAAATAAGTATCATATACTTGGACGATAGTCTCAATAGTTAATCTAATTCTATGATCAAATTCTTCAAACAGACAAAAAGATAATTAAATCCTACACTATCGGTGATGTTACCATGACAAAGGATTTCTCGATATTCAACTGATGAGTGTTAATTTGTTTTTGAGAGTCAGCGTTGCTGTCTCCTATGAAAATAAAAAATTCTTCATTTCCCATATATTTACGTCTGAAATATTCAATTTTAATTAAAATAGCAGACAGTCATATTTTTCTCTTATATTCTTACGTTTCTGTTAATACTATTTTTTCATACAAGTAGCAGTCGAGATTTTCCTGTGAACAAGTAAAGCATACGTTCATTTTCAGCAGATACTCAAATTATGTAAGTGGTGGGTAACAACAAAAGCAACAGTATGAGTAATTCATGGAAAACAACTCCAACATCAACGACTTCTTCACCATCAAATTCTATCCATAGTCAGATAAAAACTGATACATCATCAAGTCTTTACAAAATAGAACATCAGACTATCATTCATCGATGGTTTTTACCTGATATACGGGCATTGTATGACAAACCTAGAGGCCAATACCTGCAATCAAGTACATTTGGATGCACGGGAGAAGATGGGCCCATCGAATGGGCAATTAGATTTTATCCTATTTATACGTTAAAAAAACATCATCAACATCGATCTGAACATCCAAAAACATTGTCAAATACTGATAAAAATAATAATGTATCGAGTTCTAGAAATAGACAACAGCAGGAGAATTTGATTTATGTTAAGAATAATGCAGATTCTAGACCATATTTTAATCGAAATCATTCTAATCGACATCGACTAACACTGAGCGAAAAACCAACGATAGATAACAAACGATCTATGTTGGATAATAGTATTCGAAAATGTTTAACCCATTTACCATTCAAACGTCAACTGTCATCTGAAACATGTTTATTCAGGCCTATTATTGCCGGCAATAGAAAACAGAGTTCAAATTTCATTCAATATACGTTCTCTCCTCTCTATCGGTATATATCGGATATTTTACAACAGCATGATGTATCAGTATTTCATAATAATAATGCACTGAGTGAAGGAGCACCATCCAAGACATTGTCATCATCAATACTTAATAACACAATTGGAATAGATGGTGAACCAACATCTTCTACTTTATGTCATTCAAACGGAGTCTTACTCAATGTTCTTCAACGTATTATGAATTCTAATCAAAATAAATTTCCCGTTAACACAGCAGCATCTCAGGATAAATTTCATTTAGATCAATTATTTCAGCTTATTCTATCGTCATCAGAGAATACAAATCTCGTTCAAATAGCCAACAATAATGATAATTATCAGCAACATGAACAAAAGAGTGGTAGCAAAACAATTAACGAAATCACTCATCATCAGCCATCACGTCAAAGAACAAATATACTCAATCCTCATACTCTAAAACAGTTACCAGGTGGTTCAGTTTCATCGGCATCGGATAATTCGTCAATTGATGAGCTCTGTACATTTGAAATTATGTGTGTAAATGACTCTAGTCAAACATTATTTGAAACAATTTATCAAGGTAAAAATTTTGTTGATCTAAAACGAAATTCAATCCAATAATTCTTCTCTTTTTAGTCTTCTCTGTTAGTGATGATGGATATTTAAGTTTGCTACTCATGGAAGGACGACAACAAGTTCACTTTGAGCGAGCACTTATTCATATACCAAGAGACACAGTGTTTTCTGTTGATTCAAATAATATCTTATTTTCTGTTAAATTAATTGTTTATGAGTGGTCGACAACTGTTGATCATTGGCAATTAAATCAGCAGGAACCACTAGCTTCATGTCCATATCATTCAAAACTTTTACAAGATAGCATCGTCGATGATGAACTAAAAAATATTGCTAATATTGAACATTTATCTACGAACGTTCATTCACATCCAATACAATTCCATGCAAAGAATAATTCACCATTTAACAACTCTAAACATCAACAGTTGACGGGACTTGTTCAACTATACAGAAGTATGGGTAGAACGATTCATCATGATGATTTTGTCGAAGCAGAAACACGAACAAAGCGTTCATCATCAAACGATGATTGTTGCATTAATAACGATGCTAAACGACGATGTCCTGAGCCGGGTTCAGGTGAAGCCTTTTGGTTTATGTGTCAAAGAAATTTATTTACAGATATCAGTATAAGAGCGTCATGTGGTAGACTGTTTCATGCTCATCGTATTATTTTATATAGTTCATGTGAAAAACTAGCTGAAATTATTGGAAACGATAACCATGATATGTTAGTAATTGAAATACAAAATCTTAATGGTGTTTTATTAGAAAAAGTACTGAAGTTTATCTATACTGGAAAAGTAGAAATTTTTATTGGTGGATTTAATCTTGACGAAGCTAACCAATTGATTATTGCTGCGGATGCTTTCAATTTAGTGACAATGAAAAGTATCATTTCAAAACGTTGTATGAATCATATTACACAACGTAATTGTCTCGAATTACTTCAATTAGCCGATAATAAAAATATGAAATCATTGAAAGGACGTGTATTGGGTTTTCTGTGCAATCAATTTCCACAGGTTCATACATTCTTCTAAATATTGCTCTTTACAAAACAATTTATATTATTTAAATAGTTGATCATTTCTCTTTCATTTTGTAGATCTTCAATTCAATGATATGGAAAAATTTTCGTGAGACCAATCCAATTTTGATTGAAGATGCATTTACCTCTCTTATCCGATTAACGAGACTTCAAAATTCTATTATTAAACGTTTACAAGAAGAATGCAAAAGTTAAACAGATGTACACCATTTCAAGGTTATCTTTTATTCTTCGCTCATTGTTATTTTATTTCATGTTTTTTTTAAATATATTTTGTATTTTCTTACCTGATTATGGTTTTATTTATTCAAAACATTTTTTTGTCTTATCTCAATAAGACTTTATATTTTTCTTAGATTTTCAATTCTAGCTTGAATAAATGGATTTAATATAAAATAAACAAAGTACATTATGTTTCAATATCATTAAAATAACCGATTAGTTCTTTTCCATAACGTAATCTTAATGTTCCTTCTAAGGTTAGTATAATATTTGTTTCAGTTAGAGTTAGTGATTGATGTAAGAGTGTATTTGAAAAAAGTAAATGTAATGGTACATTTAAAGTTTCGGAATGATTAAGCCAATTTTTTATCTGTATACGCACTGATCCAGATAATAAAATTTGTTGTGTAAAATTTGCTTCTAATGCTTGATAATTAACTTTTGCAATTAATTCTGTTGTTTTTCGTGGTGGTACAGTTATTCGAGAGCCAACACTCCACAATTGATCACATATAAAAAGTTGATCAATACCACATTGTACATTAAAAATATCTGGTAATGGAATAAGTTCATTTAAATAAAATTTCTTTTCAGATGAAAATAATGATTTTGAACTAAAACCACTAGTCCAATATAATCTACATTGAACTTTTGTTCGTTTTTCATTATCATCAATAGATTTAATAAGATCTTTATCTGTATCATTTTTCACTTGTACTCGTAATAATTCTTCATCATTATTATAATTTGAATCAGTATCAACAAATATACGTTGTATTTTAATTGATGATACGGTTACTTTAATATCAGAATGATCAATATCTTTTAAATCATGATTATATCGTAAACCAGGTATGATTGATTTTTTAACATGACGTTGAACATATTCATAACAAGTACGATTAAGAAATGAGTCAAAATCTGCCAATGCCTTAGTTGAATCCATATGTGTAACTTTATCTAAATAATATTAAAAAAAATAACTTTTAATTTATTGAAAATTGGTACTTTTTTAATGATAAAATATTTTATTAATATTGAAAGTTTTTTATTTCAAATAATGTGAAGTATATTTATAAATTTTATTGTAAATAAGATAAAAAAAACCCCTAAAAAAGTGACATTCAATCTCTGGTTTTACCAACATTATTTATCTTCATTTGAGTTATTCATTCTTTACGAATATTTCACAACTTTATTGACAATACGTGTCAGTGATCAAGTTATTACGTATAATTGAAGAAAGAAGTGGAAATAACTTTTTTTTCTTCCTGGTTGAGACATACAAATGTATACAAAATAAAAATTATTACTATAGACATATATTCTGTACATTTTTTTCTTCTTTTTTTTTCCTCTTTTTCTTTCAACAAATATTATAGCCAACAAATAAATAAATAAATGTTGAATTAAATGATTTGAGTTTTGATGATAATATCTCTAAAAACAACTGTACACCATTCTCAAGAATATTTATTTAGGAAAGAATTCTCTATAAATAAAAAAAAAAAAAGAAAAAAACGTTTATGAACAATAGAAAGAAAAAAAAAACAGATGACAAATGAAAAAACACACACACATAGAGAAATTTCGTCATCTAATTTTCAAAAACAACATTTAGGAGATTAATCATTTGGAAACATATTAATCGTTGGAAAAAAAAAATAGGATACATTCAAACGTCGAACAAAGAATATGTTTTGGGAACGACTTTAATTAGAAGAAATAGGCGAATAAATTTTATTTTTAAATAAAAAAATACTGCAAATGAGATCAAGTTTTAGTATTGTCAAAACTTGAATTCAATCGATTTAAGATGAATAAATACAAAAAAACAAAAACAAAAAAAAGAGATGATTTTTTTTTCATAATTTTTTTCTCTCTCTCTTCTCTTACATTAGAATATCAATACTTTTTTAATAACTACAATTAACACTCGTATTAGATTTGACTTTGACTGTCAGTATAAATGAACACTAAATAATACTTATTATCAAAAATATGCAATATATATGGAAAGAAGGTAATTAATTTTATCCTTCATATTGATGAATAAATGGTAATGTGGTATTTTCAATACTCGATTGTTGTTGTTGTTGATGTTGTTGATCATTTTTTTGCCAATCTTGTAAACCATTGGAAATTGGTTTTTGATGAAGTCTAAAAAAAAAATAAATATAAAATTGTTTTTTTAAATATTTATATCATATAGATAAATAGATCTAAATGAAATATACTTACACCATATCTAATAGAGTTTGAATATTATTTATTAAACCTGTACTTTGTTTGTATAACATTAAACGTTTTCTTAAATTGTATGCTATTCTCTTCACATCATTTTGTTTATCTAATAAATGCAAATAAACAGATGGATCTTCATGTGATTGTTTCAGATATTCTTTTAATGAATCAAGCACTTTTTGATGTAACTCTGTAATTAATGTTGATAATGGAGTATCATACAAATAATCTATAAAAAAAAATTATGATATTAATTAATTTTTATTTTTGTTCTATTTTTTTTTATCAATAGTATTTCTATTTACCATGATTATCAGGATCTAAAAGGGTTGCTGTTGATAATGATGCATTAATAATATTATCTAATTTATAATTTTTTAACGATGAACTAAATTCATACAATTGATGTGCAACATCACCTAGTAAACAATTTAATTGTGATTTATGAAATACGACACCGGAACATAGTATAATCCGATCATTATCTTGTATTCGAGTGGCTGTCCTCAATACAATTAGTTCTAATAATCCATTTGAAAATAATCGATCACGTTCACTTTGATTTACGGAATAAAATACACATAATTTATCTGTCCATGCTTTTATGACTTCACATGATCTAGTCAAACCATCATAGACAATCGTTTTTTCTTCACAAATATTTTCTTTGTTTGTCACTGTTCGATACTAAAAATTGGAAAAAAAAATCTTATTATAATTTATTTTATATGAAAATTAGAAAATTATTTCTTACGTTTAATTTACTAAAGTCTAAACTGGTTGCATTCGGCAAAGAATCAGTGTAAAAACGACAAAACTGAGTTTGAAAACTATTTGGTTGTAAGCGATGATTGGTATTCTTTGGTTTTGACGGCAGTCGGCCACGACGACCTTTTAAAGCATCCGTTCGGACCACTAGGAAAGAAATTGATAAACATTTGAGAACTGTTGACCGTAATATATTCATTCAGACGGACATTATAGACAAAAAAATCGAAAGTACACTCTTTTCAAATTTGAAAAGTGAATTTTGAATTTTCAAAACCCCATTGATTTTTTAGAGAACCTCTCAAAAAACAAGGAATGAAATTTTTTTCACTTCACCATCCTATAGAGCATGGTCGAAAATCTATAAAAATGTACTTTTCACAAATGTCGACTTACAAAGCTAGAAACGTCCACCGTACAGCGACATCTTACCTTCTTTATCCATTCCAACTGCTATACACGTCTGATAGCGGCAAAATTGACATCTGTTTCGTCTACGTTTATCAACTGGACAGTTTTTATCGGCAAGGCACACATATTTTGCATTTTTTTGTACAGTTCGCTAAAATAGAATAGAAAGAAGTTAACATAACAATATTCGGAGAATCAAAACACTAGATTAAATAGCGAACTCTACAATCTGTCGATTCCATTCTCAAATAGATAAAAGAACAGAAAAGGATCATTAAAGAATAGATAATCTCATTTCAGAATAATACTAAGTACATGGCTAACAGTCGATGTTACTTTTAGAATAAAATACTAGTGGTTATTTTTGAAACACTGTTTTACAGGAAAAAGATTGAGGACTGAAATTTTAAATTTACAGTAAACACTTATCCATTCAAATATTTGTAGAAGTTCTCATAGAGATGTACCCTCGTATTGGGGAAAATATAAACACTTTTACATACACTAGAAGAACAAAGCTCGTTTTTAATGTGATTTATTCTCTCTCTTTGGAAAAACTCTTTTAAACGTATAGTTATCATAGAAGCCAAAATGACTTCATAGTATCGTCCTGCAGTGGACATTTTTGGCTCAGTGAGGTGGACATGAGACTCTTTTCGTGAAAAACTGGATTTTTTTTGCATAAAAACCCACTTACTGTCATTTAAGAAGCCGTATTCAGCAAAATAAGGTTTCAGAAAAAGGGAGACCTTGTCCGCAAAATATTTTTCGGCCAAAAAAATTCATTTTATATATCTATAAATGCAGTTTCAAGTACTGATTCCGAATATCACCTGTTTTGATAAATGTGTGCTGAATGAAAAAAAACACATTTTACTTGAAAAACGTTTTGGAAAACCTCTAAAGTGAACCAGAAACATTTGTGCTACTTTGTGCTATCTGTACACTCTAAAAAAAATTTTTTTCCGAGGATTTATGCCCAAATGGAGAAATTTCACTGATCCATAGAAGAAGATGACTAGGTTCACAATCTATATCGGTTTTATTTTTACTTATATTCAATTTTAAAAAAAAGATTTTCTGTCTTTTACCCCTGTGTTTTCAGACTAATTTTTGAATACGTGTTCTCCCACGCACGTTGACAGTTGAAACAAAAATATTTTATTTATCAAAACGTTTCTACAGAGGTAACTGGATCTCCTCTACAAATTGGCCTAAATCAGAATCTCCTCATCCGAAAGTGTAGATCAGGTCTCCAGAGACACGTTTTCTATAGGACGGTACCAGGAAGTCATGTGGACAAAAACGAATATCAGATTCGCGATCGGTATTAAACATAATCCTTAAAAATCTATGTTTCCTACAAACTGGAGTGAGACGCCTGTTCCTTAGCTTTGTCAAAAAAATCCTCTCTTCATTCTGCTATACTATATGTAATTAGAAAACTAAAACCTAATTACATTTTTATTTACATGATACTTTTAGGCTACAAAATTGATCACGATCTACATATGATTATGAAGATATTTTTACATCTAATACATGTCACTACATGTACGTTCGGTTATTTTAACTCATATACATACTGCTAAAGAAAAAAATGGATTTTCATTTCAAAAGAGAGCATTACATGTCAAAGTGGATGAAGTTCACTTATCTTCAATAGTAAAGCTAAGAAGCTCTAACTTCAGAATTTATAAGTCCTTGTGCAGATCCCATGTTTTCAGTTAGGGAGATTTTCCATAAACTGCTGAGCACGAAACGCACTTATGAGATAGGAAAGATAAAAACTTTAGAAGTTCATAGAACTCACTTTTAATACAAAATGAGAAACTATAATTACCTTGAAGAAGCCTTTGCAGCCCTCACATGTTCTCACGCCGTAGTGTTGACAGGCTGAAAAAAGAATATTAGTTTCAAACTTTACGTAGTTAAATATCACTAATTGAACGAACCTGCATTGTCACCGCAAACAGCACATCTAAAAAAGAAACATTTTATTAGAGAATACAAATAGTTTGTCAAGCAAAGAAGTTATTCTTACAGTTGACTCGGTGGTACATCACTATTGGACGAATTTCTTTGGTTTCCCACAAGTTTAAATCTCATATCGATTCTAAATGAGAAGAATGAAATGCGTAACATTCACGATGATAAAGGGTCTTGTTTTACTCTACCCAAAATCGTGTTTTAATTGTGAATTGTACAAACTGTGTCTCATTTGATCCGAATGCGAAATACCGTATGGAGACGTCGGATAACTTGGCTGTAATAATCCAGATGCATAAGACGAGTATGGATAAAGAGAATACTCATCAACAATGCCAAAATTTGGATTTGTTGTTGCATTTAAAGTTCCTAATTTAGAAAACATAAGGATAAAACTAACTGTGCAATAATAGAAGAATGTTTTCTTACCAGTATTCGATGTTGTTGTATAAATATTATTAGTATGTTGTGGATGATGGTGATCTGTATGTGTTGATGGAAACGGAGATTCTTGTTTTATATTACAGACGTTGGAATAGAGACGTTGTAAATGATCACTGTTCGTTGTTGAAGATGATGCCGTCACTCCACTTGTTGTATCATAATTGGATGAAGATGATAACGCCTTTTTCTCATAATTATTAACATAATAATCGGACGATGAATAACCACTGGTATGTGAATTATAGGAATTTGGTGAACTGTCTGAATTCGCTAAAGAAACTGTAGCTGCGGCCAATGCTGCTTGATGGTAAGAATCATTGTGAGAATTTGTTAATGCTATATAATCACTGTTGCACATTGGTAATATTTCTTGACTAACAAATTCAGTGGGAAATGGAGAAAATAGTTCACCACCGAATGGACTACTAACACTTGAATAGACTTGTGGTGGATAACCAACGCTTTCATTGTTCATCATCCGAACACTAAAATGAACACATTACAGCAGTGAGAAACAAGTTATTTTTCAAAGATATTAGTTAATTGTTTGAAGTAGATTCAAGAGGATACACCTGAACCGCGCTCATCCTCAATAATTTCATCATTTTTTATGACTTAGACGTCCATTAAATCAATGTAGGGAGATAAGTCGTTTTTGCTGCAATCGCTAATAGGTACGGGAGAGAAGATATTTTCAAACAACATATTAGTAGTGAGAATGGAGAAGTAATGGCAATCTATACATAGAGAATAATTGTTCATGGTAGTAGTTGATTAAATTCCGTTAATCTGTGATATACTAACTAACTCTGATGATGATGAGGTTAATTAGGATATAATTACTAAGCTTGATGTATACAATAAAAGTCGACATATGTTTTCCTTTTGTAAAAATACTACTGTTCATTAAAACAATTGTTTCCAGATTTATTCATCAGTAAGGATGAGATTTCCAATAAAAAATAATATTATGCCTTTTCTTTTTCGTCTTTTATATAGTCGAACACATCCTTTAGCAATCAAGAACGATGTTATACACATCTCAGTATACTTGTAGTTATCAGTGCGGTTACTTTGATTAGGCAGTTTCAATTACAATCATCTACATTATCTATCCATATTTACTATCCTATTTTCTTTTCTTTACTTTTATATGTCGAATAAGACAAAGAAACACAACTCATATGGACGTAAAAATTGACTACAATGAACACCAAATTTCCTGTGGAATCTATGCAGGTTTTTTTGACAAAATAAAATATTTTCGAGCACGTAACGATCTACTTCAAAGCATTAGAAACGGATATGTAACGAGAGATTTTATCAAAAAAGACTGTTTATTTTATATTTATGATAAATAAAATATGTAAACATAGCCAATATCCTAAAGTACAAACGTTTATAGTCATCATTATTTTTGTTCTCTCATAAGACGATGTGAGACTGATACTATCAAACACCTAATTTTAGACTCTTTTTTTTACAAAAATTAAGATTTTAAACGTAAAAATATAGCGGAAAAAATTTCTTGTTTTTTTCAAAATTAAATTAAAAATTAATCGTTTTCTAGTCGAAGCGTTTTATTACATATCAGTACACATATTTTTTCGTTTATCCTCGTGCTGTAATCGTATTAAAATGATAGTCTATCTGTCAACAGAACACGATGATGAAACACATTCTACAATATGATGAGAGATTGAAAAAGACAAAAAGAAGCTAATAAGTGATTAATGATGACCACTTTTTCAGTGTCAAAATGAAAGAATCATTGTTATCTAGATTCCCCACATCATGTAATATTATTAACGACGATTATTAGCCAGTTATAATCGTTTATGTCGTTTTTTCTTTAAGTAGTAATTCATCATAGAGATAGACAGATGACAAGTTTTTCTTTCAATGTTATCTTTAAACATATAGATAGAATTGGACAAAAAGAGAGAGTAAGAGACACTAAAACCGCATCGCAGACATATAGTATTCACCAAAAAAAAAAAATTGTGTTTTTCTTACTTGTCACACGAACAAAAAAGAATCTCGAACACTTAGAAAAACTGAACGTTTAAATAGATGGTGAAACTTTCGGTAGGACAACTTGATATTCTTATTGAGACATAAAGATAGTATTAATGACTACACGGCTTATTATGTATTGAAATGTTTTCAATTTGTACAATATGGTCTTAAATAAGTGTTATTTTTTCTAATTATTTTATCGTGTATAGATCAAAGGCATGCGTTCGCAAATAAATGGTGGAGCACTTGAACATAATTATACATCAATCACAAATTTACACTAACTCTCAAAATACGAAAAAAAACAGAGAGATTAATTATACATTTGTTCAACATTTGTAGAAATAAAATCATTTTTACTAGTCTATTCATATTGATTACTAAAAAAACTTCAGCGACACTTTAAATATTTAATCATATTTCAAATTTCGTTTATGTGATGATATCATCACATGATCAATATTTTCTTCTTCTATTAGTCATGTGACAAAAGTTTCTATTTCTATTTTTAAAATAAATATTATTTATCAAACTAAAATTGAAATAGTCCTATGATGATTGAGAAAACAAAAATGATATCATTTCCTATAATTTAATAACTTCCTTTTTCGTTTGAAAAGTGATGTGTCTATCAATTTTTTGTTTTTTTCCATGTAGGAAAATATTTTTTTTTTTAAACAATCAAAGACTGTGGATACTGTAGATGACAAAAAATAAAAAATATACAGATATATATCTGTACATATCTTTCTTTCTCGATTCGTACACGGATATGTACTAATGTCCATTGAGAAGTTAAACATAACTAACCTTTGTTGAGAGTGAAGTCGAAAATGGCATAAAAAAGAATGTTTAACATTTTAGAAATAACGCGACCTTTGTCATCACACGAGGCAATATTCATTGATAATACATTGACTTTTCGCTTCTAAATATCAGAGACTGGCGCTTGAAAAGTTCAACTTAGAGAGGAGAAGATGTGTGTATAATATAAACGTTTTTAGGATATAACTCCCTTTTTTTTTTTTCATTCATTCATATATGTATGTATAGATGTAGATATATTATGAATATGAAAAAAAAAAATTGTTGTTTAGTGAGGATAAATGTCTTCTACAATGAGTAGATCTATCTCCACTAAACTTTTCATAAGAAAAAGGTTGTTGTCTCCTATTTAAACAAAAAATATGAGCAACTATTTCTTTATTTAGTACAGTTGTACACACGATACACACAAATATTTCTCGAAGAAATGAAACGTAAAGTCATTTATATTCAGTTAACAAAAACTGGTAAGTTATTTATTAAATCTTTTTCTTATATAAGATTTTTTTTAAAACAATAGTTATTTTCTAAGATAGAGATATGGTATACGTTTTCTAACGATTTATGAATCGTTCTAATCCAATTACAAAAAAAAATTCTCAGAACGTTCAATATCTATTTACTATAAGATGTACTATTCAATTATTTGTAATGTCAAAGTTTCGATTACTATACGCACGTATATAATCAAATAGTCTATCTACCATACATATTATTATATGAAGATCAATTTAATTCTTCACAGAATTTATCGTTCATATTTTATTATATTATCATATTCTTATCTCAATACGTGATCAATTTATTCGATATATATTTTTTTAATATTTTTATTATTCAATTTTATCGTTATAAACGCAATGAAAAACAACAAATAAAAATATTAATGTAACTGTTTTCTTTTTTTTATCATCGTTAATAATCGTCATTGAGCGTTCACAGATCTTCGTCTATCAACTAATTTCTTGTTATCTCCTATTTATTGAAGTTTTCCTTTATTTATGACAATTTTTAATAAGTCAAAGAGTAAGTAAAAGAGAGTAAAATTTAAAGAACATAGACAAATCTTGTTTTTGACTATATCACACGAGTTTTCTTACGTGAAGTTTGATTTTACCGCCCCTATTTCATTTCATGGGTGTGCTTGACGTGGATTAAAATAAAAAGTTTTATTTACTTGAAGATTATGAATCCCATAAACAAAATGTCAAGGTGTCATGAAAATTGAATTGAAAAAAAAAAAGAAGAAAACTAAAGCCTCTTTATGGTAATCTTATTTTGTTCTCTGCTATATAATTCAGACTTTTTAACTCAATAAAAATAGAGTTACTTTATTCTTGATGCACTATGAACCGAATGTATGAGTACATTCGACTTTCTTACATAACATTTGATGTGAGCGAGAGTGAGCAAACATATTATTTTTAGCTAAAGACTAAATGTTCATTTTTTTCGCATGTTCTCCCAAAATGAAAATAAAGGATTAAACATAATATACTTAATGAAATTTTGCTTATATGATAAAAGTTAAGGAAAAGAGTTTTATGTTTCAAATGGAATACACGTAATTAAATATGGTATACTTCTTTTCTACTTTTACAATAGATTCAGATTTCTCATTTTTAGACGATCATTTAAAAATAATTTATATAAGTTCGAAAGTTGGTTATAAAAAAAAAAAGAATGAATTTATGCTCTTTCTCAAGTATTTGAACTATTATCTCAATAGTTTTAGTTATTGAAGTTGAACTTCTCAGTATACATACATCTATATTTGTCCTTTAGACTTCATACACATGTACAACAAACAAAAGCTGGGAAGTTCATCCCATGAATTTCTAATAAATGTCACTATTTCTTCTCTCTAGAATGTCATTATCATCTTTTTGTTGTTTCTCTAATTTATTTTTTTTTTTCAAATATCCCTACTAAAAATATAAAAAATCAAAAAATCAATCATACAAGCAAATGACGAACAAACTGTTCTAAAAAATTTCTTTTATCACTACCATCACCACAGGTATTGTGTCATACATCTAATGAGTGAGTGAATGTTTTGTTCACTTACCGATATGATGATATGTATTAGAAGCTCTGCTGGTGTAAATATACTGAAAATACCATTAAAAAAAAGGTCAAAAACAATTTGATTGATAAAAAAAAAAGACGAGAGGAATTCAACAGGTTCTTCCCTTTTGTTATTTCTCTCTTTTTCTCTGCACCCAATAAAAAACGAAGGAATAAACGTCGATTATACAGTGATGCAAAAAAAAAAAAAATAATATCATGAGCGAGACCAAAATACTATTTTTAAATATGAAGAAGAGAGAACGGAAAAATTTCTCTCTTACACAATAAACAGGTATATACGCTCATTTTTTTTATCAAGATTTTGTTATTTTTCCAATAATGTGATTCTTCTTCTCTTTTTCTCTTTTCTTTTTTCACCATCACACACATCACAAATATATGTGAATACGTTATCCAATAAGAATAAATGCATCATTTTTCAAAATCAGCCAATAGAACTGACTATGATATGAAAAAAGTGGAATAAGATACTTTCTAACACTTTTATGTGGTCTATTGATCAGTTATTATTACATTATACAATATATAAAGAAAAAAAAAATT